GTAAAGGTTCTTACAGATTTTTTTTCAAAAAATGTCCAGCGTTCAATATTAAAAGTTGCCACAAAATAACTCAAATCCCTTATGTTACGTCATAGTCATTAACATATTGGAAATATAAACCTTTGTATCTCAAAGACCCAACATTCAAATGACGAATTATTTTCACAATCAACTATTCACTATTTAAAGAATCAATTTTGAAAATATTGTGTAAAGGCTTATAAGCACTTTAATGATCTTCAAGTTAACATCAATGTCATTTAGAATTTAATAAACATATATGGTTTTTGCTCTAAAAGCAACAATGGTTAAAAATTTCTCATTAATAGTAAACCATGTGAAGAAATCACAGCATTGGGAAGTTTAAAAGGTAATTTTGTGCTATAAGCAGTACACGTTCACGAATGTTTAAGCTAATTCCCAACCAGACTATTGTTTTTCTTTCTTTTGGATGTCTGCAGGCAATATTCCAACATCGAAGTTTTTTCATGCTTTCATTGATGAAAGATATTGGTTAACTCGTACGAAAGAGCGAAAAAAGTTGGGGGTCACTGTGCTTGTTCTGGAGATAATTCGCATGATAATTAGCACTAATTTCTATATAAACTATTAGAGAAGAAGAGAGAAATAGATAAATATATGTAAAAAGAAAATTGGGGGTCACTGTTCGTTCTGAAGAGATATGAGAGTTTGAAGAAATGAAAATAGTTTCAGCTTACTAGCCATTGTTTTTTTATCCCAAAAACAATCAGTAGCGTACTTGTTCTTTTCCATTAATGGTTATTATAGTGGGAATTATACAAAGTACCACTCCGAAAACCATTTATGTACTTTTATGGAAAAACCATTATGAGAAGCTGGAGAACCATGCATGTATTATAAGTCATTATAAGTCTGTTTTTCCATTCTTGTTTCTTGAATAGGAATAATTACTATAATTACCATTCTAAAAACCTGAGACTGTATTTATCCTAGTTTCTGACTAGTTCAATTCAGTTTCTTAACCATGCTTGTAAATAGCCAACTGCTTTGCCTCCTTGCCAGTTGGGATTCTTAAAAACACTTTTTGTTTCTTTGATTATTTCTTCATTTTAGCTTCATTTCAGTGTCCCCAATTAGTTGTATAAACTGAATACATTGACACTTAAATAAAGTTATTTATTTATTTATTATTATTATTTCATATGTTTATTATTTCAGCTGACGCACCACCTCATGGGCTAGACCAAAATGGAGACGGATTCCCAAACGGCTGCCCAAAGGGACATGATCCTTTGACTGTATGCCACACCCTTGCTGAAAAAGGAATCACGCTGTACTGCATTGGATGTGAACCCAGTGTTCATGCATTCAGGGACTTCCTAATGGCATTGGGAGCAATTACTGGAGGGCAATATGTGCCACTTCGTCAGGCAAAAACCTTGACCAAGGTAAACTCTCTCGCATAATCTTCAAATTTTATCAATAAACCCTGAAGGAACCTCTGGGCTGTTCTAAGTTAGGGCATGACTAACTCACAGATTAAACCCTGAAACAACCTCTGGGCTGATCTAAGTCAGGGCATGGCTACCTCACAGATAGAACCCTGAAACAATCTCTGGGCTGATCTAAGTCAGGGCACGGCTAACTCACAGATACAGTAGAACCCTGAAACAATCTCTGGGCTGATCTAAGGCAGGGCATGGCTAACTCACAGATCCAACCCTGAAACAATCTCTGGGCTGATC